TTGAATCTCATTAACTTGCACTATACTTTTAGGATATATTATATTTTCAATATTTTTTAAATGCTTCAAAATTTGCAAAATCAATAGTTTTTCCGGATAGATGGAAGGTTATCTATCCAGAAAAAAATTATTAATAGATGAGTCAGAATGCCGATCGTATAACCATTAAATTCTTATACCAATCTTTATCCTTTATCGCAAAAAATCCCTTTAAAACTAAGATGAATATTCCCGAAAAGATGAAGATTCCAGCGTTTCTTACTTTGTTATAAATACATATTTCTAAAATGTCTGACGTGAAATACTACTGCATGTGATATACAATAATCATCTAAATGTTTAATTCAGTGAAGTGATATGAACATTAAGAAGGATTAATATTTTATCTAAAAGACAAAAGATAAAGATGTGTTTCATTTTTGCGCATGGATATATCTTGAAACATTGCATCAGCAGGATCAGTAATACTTTATTCCACGAAATAACTAAAATTGATGTATGTGTGTTCAACCTGTTGTAAATGATGGCACTATTAGAGATTTTAAAAATTCACCAGTAAAATTTCAAATTCACTTTTGATCCATATTTATCCGAAAAATTTTTTTTGAACACTAAAAATTCTTGTAACATTAAATTTGAATATTAAATAATACCTTGCCTTAAACAAGACATTATTTAGTATTCATTAGGCTAAGGAATAATGATAATTGTATCGAATCAATATAATTCATTTGCAACTTTTGTAAAAAAAGAAAAGAGAAGCCCATGAATTTCTTAAAACATACATTAGAATTAAGCCCCGGCAGCTTTCCCGTACTATCAATAAAAGAGAAATCAATCAATATCTTAATTAAATTTGAATAAAACACAATCTTTCCTAACAAGTACTTTACAATACATATCACGAACAAAAAAGTACATATATGGAAATTGTCTAATCTCTTTAATGTTGTGCCCAAAAACGTTGATATGATTAGCAAAGAAAAAGTTCAATGTTTTAATTGAATTTTTTGCCATGTTTTAATCTTTCAGTCGTTATGTTCCTTAAAAATATAACAAGAGTAGCAGACCAGAAATAATATAGGCATTATTCGCCTTTTAGGCAGCAACCGGTAAAAGTAACCTGTGAGATACAGATAATTTTCAAAGAACAAAGGACAAATAGGTGGCATATTTGTACATCAAAATGAAATATACACAAAATTATTGCTTGGAATTGTTAAAAGTGATTTCATCCTGAAAAGACGATGCGTCCAAATCTTTGAATACTCGAATTTCCGGATGATCCCAGATGAAGCATTCGTTTCAGCTGGAATTCATTCATCATCTTTGACTTCCAAATCTGTCTTCATGGTCAATAAATGCGTCCTATAAGATATTCCATATTCGTACTCAGACTTACATAAAGCACAAAATATTGAGTGAAGGATTAGATCGAACCACGTTTCTTCACTGAACCTAAAATCTTATCTTACCTATTGTTTGGGGAGTTATCATTTTCCGATTCGCTTTCAGGAAGTGTTGAGTGAGTTGCAGAATCATCGTCTGATTCGCTATCCAAAACTATTGGTTGAACTGTCCTTGGACGTCTGGAAAAATCTTTTTCAACTTTAATTTCCATTGTAATAGAAGCTTGATAAGATAATCATTTCGGGGTAAATGATAATTCGGAATTAGTGAACACCTACAGTTATCAGGACTATAAATAAGCTCACTCTCACTCTCCATAAATAAGCTTTTTCGCCTGAGAGTAAAGCTTAGTGATAAGTTTGAAAACTTTTTCAAACCATGAATAACAATTTCTTTTAAACCCGGACTCTTCGATATCATACATTAAACTTATTTTGGCCTCATCTGCTGTCAAAATATTAGCTCAATACTAAAACGTTATCCACATAATCTTGCATTTCATCTAGAATTTTTGCTTTGAATGAAGAAAAAGATTCCTTCCCTTGTTTTATACTTAAAAATCTTATTCTGCTTATTTTTATTTCAAAAAAAAGTAAAGTTATGAAAAGAAAAAAGAAGAAAAGAAAGAGAAGATACGCTTTATAGTCATCAAGAAATGGGTTGAGAAATGAAAGAGAATCGAAATATTTTGCGCAAGAACTCCTCAAAGGAGGAGTGCCTTGGATTCTTCTTAATGTTCGGTCCCGAGTATAAGCGAACTTTAATTTATTCCATCTCCTACGACATCCATCATCTGAAATATTGAACGACGATATCATTACCAATAGATGGGTTTAGAATGTTTAGAAAAAAATCTACTAACATTGATCATTGTATTTTTTTCTCGCAAAACATCATTTCTAATATCACATGATTCAGCGGACATATTCAATTTATTTATTAAAAAATTGAAGTTGACCAATGACATGGAAAATGATGTATGTTTGAATTTGTATGACGTCACATAATTTCCGAGCAAACTTGTCGTACAAATTCATCATTCATCATTTTTAATGGCATTCATCACTTTTAGTTTGTAAACAAAAGTCACCATTGATGTCATGCCCTCGTTGTTGCATACATTTTGCAACAGCCTGCCAAGCTTTTTCACGTCTTGAACCTCGTTTTTGATAACCCTTCATACGTATGTCATAAATTATGGGATGTGCCTTTACTACTTCGATGAGATCGCCGAAAACCGTTGACATCACAAAATCTGAAATAAAATAAAACTGCCTAGTAAATTACCTAAACTTAAAATACGGAAACAATAAAATTTTAGACACATTTAAATTTCATGTGGAAATTCGCTAAATAAGTAGATGTTGATGTTTTTCAATGAAATGAAAATTCTTTCTAATCCTTTCGATCACATATCACTATTTTAAGTACTGAGCTAAATATAAGTAGCCATTGTATAATAAAACGGCTGCAATTACAATCCATTATTGGAGTGAACAAAAGGAATAGAAGGATAATGACCTGTAGCGTGAGAATTATGAAATATAAATAATTAAACTTTATGGGTAGTTCAGTAAGTCAAACTGAGCAACATCACTGCACTGTTAGGAAACAACAAAACTTAGGAAATGATTGCATATCAAACGTTTCAGGAAATATTATGATTAAAGTAATAGTAATAGTAAACCAATAAAATTTCACCACTGGAACATTCTTATTCCACTGCATACATGTTCTGTCTTATACAAATTGCATAAAAGAATGACAAACATTAAAATGACCAATTTCCCTTAATGCTCAGTTTTTTTCTAGATTGTTAAATAAAATAAAATTCGACAGGAACCTCGCAACTGCAAACAATCACTTAAGCCTTTCAGTCACACAGAATTCAAAGATTTGGTACTTCAGGCAAATTCACTCAGTTCAATATCCAATCACCGAAACAATAACTGGCCACTGATTTGGTACTCTCAAATCCTCCTATATTTGCAGTTCCTGAATTGGTATATGGAACTTTAAAGTAGATTTCAACAAACTCAAAACCCAATAGCTGATCATAAATATGAAACCACACGATTTTTAATTCTTCCGCAAATGAATAATCATATAAAAAACTGGAATTCTATCCAATTTTTTATATGATTATTCATCCGCGTGGAATTCTGTCGTAGAATCCCAAAAAGCTTAAAAATATAGATTTTTCCTGGAAGTGCCAGTTCAAAATGGATGCAGAAATATGATTGAAGTGATACTTGAACTTTTTATAAAATAGTCATACGAAATTTTAGGATTTACTAAAACAAATGGTATAATGTTCAACCGGATAAATGTTATTTAAACCGGATGCCTCTTATAATTAACGAATATTTTTTTTAAATCAATCATTAGCTCAGCAGCTAGAGTGAAAAAAAGACAAATCCATCACTATTCACTGATGGAATACGCATACAAAATTTCAGATTTTAGATATCCAAAGTCTTTAAAATGATATTATCATACTTATTTTAATTAATGAATATACTTCTCATTTCAAAAACTCACAAACTTATTATCCGAAATCTTTAACTAATAAGTTTTTTTCCCTTTGAAAAGAATTATACACCGATAAAATAAGCGTTATTTCGAAGATATACTTTCCAACAACAAGCACTGTTTTTATCACCGCGATAAAAGAAACGAACTTTTTTACTAATAAAATAAAAGCACACATCTCTGCGGACAATAGAAAAAGCTATCCAAGAAATTAAATTCAAAAAAGGAACAATCAAATGATTTATAATCATAACACAAAATTAAAAAACCACAATTTCGTAAATTTCTTTTCCTCATATCAGATAGATGGTGTGCATCTGTTAGATTTCGTTTAAATATCTTCGTCCCGCAACGGATTGGCGAACACTGAAAAAAGTATAACCGATCAGTTCATTTGGATGTTTATGATGAATTAACAATGGGGTATTTGCTGTACTGCTATTCTTAGCTTGACTTTCTATATTGGCTTGAGACATCATAAAAGCATGAACTACTCTGATAATCTTCATTATGATGCTAAGCTCCATCAGTTTTCTCAATCCTATTGAAATTAATACTAACCACTGCTGTAACAAATATTGGGCTGTTTGAATAGCTGTTGAGGTACCAGTAATCGTTATGATACGTTCACCAGATTCCTGCTGTGGTCCAACAACGATCTGAGCTCCTGATTCTTCACGTACTCTATTGATTCGCTCACCGCCTTTACCAATTATAGTACCACCGAGCTCATTTGGTATTGTGACCTAAAACATTTTTATTTTTAAAGCTTTAAAACAGAGAATGAATTACAGTAATCTAAAACTGCATTTAGAATAAAAATTTTTTATTTAAATCAACCTGAGTGCTTTCTTCCGGGCCCATATATGGTGGCAACGCAACAGCTGACAAGGGGCCACGTCCGCCAACTTGTCGTGGAAAACTGCGACCATAATTACCGTATGAAGTCATTGCCATTGGTCCACGGATCATTGGACCACGATAGTTTCGATCTGGTGGATATCCACCATACTCAGCTGAGTAGCTTGGATCATAGAACATTGATTCATACGGCTTCGTTACTCCTTTGATTGGAATCTGAAACCGCTGTCGTGCAATAAACTCTGCAGTAAATTACAAAAATTTTGGAAATCTTTGTACACCACAAGCTAATCGTTTTCGATTTGAGGCACTAAACTTCATATTTCAGTAAAGCCATAAGTTTGACAGGAACTATTTGCCAAATGAGTCCCTGAAAAAATAAAATCGGTAAAACTATACCTCTTTAAGCATATTCATAATATGGTTCACGCAAGCTATTATTTTGTCGGGAACTCCCTTAATTGATACAACACGTTCTGTTGATTGAGGTGGACACTGTGCAAATACCTAAAATTAAATCTATTATATTGCATGATAATTCTTAAACAGTACGTAATAAACTAAACTAAACAAAAATTATGTCTAAAAGATAAAACAGTACGCCATCTGCAGAATAAATACATGTTCGCCAGAAAAGATAATTCTATGATCGAAATATTGGGAACAGTTATAACAGCGAAAATCTGACGATAGTGTTCATGAACAAAAGATAAATTCCGAAGACTAGAAATGAACAATAAATGAAATCTTATCTTAACATCCTTTATAAAACTGACATTTGAAACCAATCTTTATGTTTTATATTAAAAGAGAATGTATTAAAATTACCTTCATTTGCACACCAAGTTCTTCCTTCATTTCTTTAATTTTCGACCCTTGACGCCCGATAACGGCACCAGCATGTGAAGAATGTACCAAAACACGAAGCTCTATTGGACGATTGGAATCACCTTCACGACTCTGTAATGCAGTTCCAATTTTTTTTTCATTTGTTTTCCAAGGATGAATGGATGAATCACTATAAAATATAAAATAACACAGCTTTGTGGCAATATAATAAGTAATTGTTTTTTTTTTTTGGAAAAATAATTGCGTAAATATCAAAAGTATGATCTAGCATGAAAGTATTTTAGTATCGGAAAATGTAATTTGGTTATGACTCAACTAAATATCTTCATTTTCTAGCGATATCAAACTTGAATTTAATAAAACATGAATTAAAATTCGATTATAAACTTATAGTATTAATGTAATACCGTGCTTCCTAACATTTTTATTGTTTTAAAGAATGCTTAAATAAAAAACATCGATAAATCAACTAACATCATCAAGTTTTGGAATAATTTCGGTAACAATTGAGAGTACATTTTCTATTGTCGCAACAACAGTGGCAATTCTGAAAAGCATAACATAAGAATTTCGAACCGTTCACAAACAACATTTTATTATTTTCAAAAAAATCTTCTTTCCTGATTAAATAATTTAATTCCTTCTGAAAACGTATCGGATTTGTGATTCAAAAATATATCTTTTAATGATCCTCTAAAAAAAGGCCAGTAAGATACAAAACAGAACTCTTCCTACTACTCAAAGTTGTCACCTAGCGGGGCAGGACTGGAAAAAAAGGAATCCTTTTCTGACGAGAACCTGATTTTATTTCGAAAAGAAACAAAAAATACTCAGTCTGTCTGGATATTCAATGCACTGCGTTTCCTGTGCACGCCGGATACAGCCGAGCATCAATCAGCGAAAAAAATGTCCAAACATCAACAATTTATCATTTAACTTAATCACCTAATGTCATGCTATTGGTGGTTTTTACAACAATGTGATCTAAAACAAAAAGAAATACCCCGTTAAATAACACTTATTGTGTGATATTACCTAACTGTATTGAGTTAATTAAATAAGTAAAAAATTTGCTCCCATTTAATAGATTGGAAAGAAGAAAAATACACAGAAAATTTAGAGACGGGAGCAGGGATTACCGTTCAGGAGTTTGGCTATCGGGGACTGTGACATTCGCATCGTACTGCAAAGCAAAGGATGAAATTTTAAACCTGAGAGGAAAAGAAAAATTGAAAACTGTGGGACTGAAATGGAAATTAGGACAAAGACAGGCAGTTGGTATTTGATTGCCATGATCTTTCACTTAAATTCATAATCCATAAATATTGCATCATCCAACAACAACAGTGTGTTGCAGGTAAACTTGAAGGAGATCGGGCATCGGGTTTGGATATCAGAATTGTGACTGGGAGTTAGGGCTGAAAAGAGCGTATTAATCAACTGTATCATATATGATGTATCGATTTTTTCGGGAAATATTTTTCAAGAAAGTAAAATTTCAATAATATGAGTGAAGTAATACTTCTTTTTGAATGTATCACTTGAATTATTTTACAATTTTAACAAAAAGGAATACTGACCGTCCAAGTAACAGAACTGCAGGATCACTCAGTGCAGTACACATTTCGATAACAGTGTAACTACACTTTGGATACCGCTATATAAACGTCTTAAAAAGTGGCTCATTAATCCAGTTGTTAAATTACGCACTTTAATCTGGCATTCATAATGTCAGTCATCAGAAACTGTCCTGCAAACACGTTACAAGTGTCCAATGTTTCAGCGACAGTTCTTGGGTTCTTTCCGTGCAATACGACCGACATTACTGATACATCAGTTTTCTAAGAAAGAAAGCAAACCTCCGATCTTAATCGCTTAATATTTTCGCCACCTTTGCCGATGATTCCACCGGCTCCACGACTGGACACCAGCAATCTTAATTCATATTTACCAGCTGCCAGCGCTTCCTGATAGCTATCTGGGCGCTGTCGCTTACCAGATTTTGCACTTTCATGGTTATCAGATGGGCCTAAATCATCGTCGCCGCCGTGGCGTTTCATCGTACTCTAATTTTTACTCACAAACTTCTCTACAAGAAGATATGATTATAAATAAAAAATACAAAATACCAATATGATAATACTCATGTAATCATATTATGATATGAAAAGTGTGCATTAAGTACGGTGAAGTCAATTTTCAATTGAATTCAATTCCATTCTTAATTTACGTTACTGGAATTGTTTAATTCAATCTTAACGCAATATTCTGATTTATACAATAATAACAAGTCGCAAAACAGTCAATATGAGCACTTATCATCTATTTATGAAATCTCAGCAAAGAATTTCTTCAAGAAGGTAATCCCTACATGGAGAGAATTTATATCCATTTTCTACTATGTTTATCGCGACAATAAAGAGCGTCAAAATGTTTGACTGTTAGAAATTCTATCAACTTCACAACAACAGAAAGATCAATACAAATTTCCCTGAATGATCTATAGAATAGTTGCCTTAAGATAGAGGGAAATGAAATTAGCCTAAATAAAGCATTTAAGTAAACATTTGGACAATTGGACAATACATTAAAGAGAATAAGTTAAAGGTTAAAGCAAAATACCACAATGAGAATCGTAAGACCTGAACAATGGACCGGAACAAATGGAAGCAACCTCAGGACAGCCCACAACGAGGACAAATAATTTCGCTCCATCAAACGATCGAATAAACATCAATCACCAAAATTCACACTAAACGTCTATACGTAGTCCGAACTTTAATTTGTGATATGAAAAAAACGCTTCCCTTCCATTTTGGATTTAACTCACAAATTGATTATGCTCTTCATATTATCTCGTTTTTGGTCATCTAGAAGATTTTATCAGTGTTTTTTTTTATCATTTTTTCTTGTTTCCTACTAATTTTTTTCTACTAAATTGTTTTTTTTTCTAATTTTCTACTAAATTTTTTTTCTACTAAATTTTTTCCTACTAAATTGTTTCCTACTAAATTGTTTCCTACTAACTCCTACTTTCCTACTAAAATTTATTTAGTTGAGAATATATCAACTGAATAAATCAATTATGAAATGAACCATCGATATAGTCTCGAGATAAGCAAACTAATGACATTAGTTTTTGATTGATATTGTAGCTTTTGGATTTTAATTTGTTAACATAGTTCAACAAATTTTAAGGCTGTATATTTAGTGGAATTTTCTAGTTTTATTATTATTACCTTCAATGTATATCTTTTTTTCCAGAGATTTGAATAATCACCATGCATCATTCAATGATCCGATGTAAATTTTTTGCGCGTGGTAATTGTCGTAATGGTGAAGCATGTCCATTTGTACATATTTTACAACCCGAAATTGTCGGCCTACAGCAGTCAAATGCGAGAAATGTTGACATGCAACGGGAACGTCGTAGGCGCCCAACTGGACAGGTAAATTAGTCATTTTGGTGAATAGCATAGTTGAGTTCATTAATTTCTGCGTCTTACACTCCTGTAGTAATGTTTTGAATTCCATTTTAAAATTTCTCTGTCGTACCATTCCTGTCTAACTTATCATTAGTAGTCTTTAAATAATATAATGTATATTTAGTGGAATTTTCTAGTTTTAAATAATATAATGATTTCCCAACCTAATCAGCTTTAATTTCTCATCACTTTATTGGTGACTTTTTTGCGACTTCGAATTAAAAGCAGTAATAGTAGTAAAACTACTGTTTTTCCTCTTCATTTTAAGTACTTCTATTTATTTGTCGAATGATTTATTCATATTTATTCTTTCAATTGTTTTCTCATTTTTATTTTTATCGTCTAATTTTTTTCTGGGTCCAGTTTTTGGCGTATTCCAGTTTTTTTCTTACGCTGTTATAGTTCTTAACTTTATAAATTTGATTTCTAGAGAATGTTTGATATTACCGAAAAATAATTATGAACAATAATACGTTTATAATTTTTATTTCGTTTGTTGCTTAAATGTTATTTCAGACAGGTTTTAATGCTTATCAATTGAACGAGCATTTTCAACCATTCTCACAGCATTTTGACACGAGGTAATACTTTTTAGCGTGTGGTTTTAGCATTCATTTTTCAAATTTTTATATGACCATTAAATAGGATTAGAAAGACAAAAGTTAATCTTAATTTATACTCATTTAGCAGTTTTCATATCCCTTTCGGTTTATTCCTGTCTTTGTTTCAGTCGCTACAAATGGGTTTCACCATTGTTGAGAGAACGTGAAGAAGCCAAAAGCAAGATGATACAAAGTCAAAATAATGTAAATAAAGGGGATAAAAATATTATTCCGAATAGAAAGTCAGCAACAGAAGCATCCGACACAGACTTATTTCCAGATAATAGGAAAGCAGAAGTGGTTCTCGATAAAACAAAGTAAATATTTTTTATAAATGATGTGAGCTTTATTAAGAACTTATTAAATATTGGCTCTCACTTAGTATTGTGGTGTATCGGGCTAGGTAGACTATTCCGATATCATTTATTAATGTTGGATATTGTAAATGAAAGGTATATCGATAGCAATGCATACAATTTGATTTTAGATCAGAGAGTTTAGTGGATGAAGACGATGTATGCAGAGAAAGTAATGGATTTACTTATGATGATTGCAATAATTTAATGCAACAGCTTTATTCGAAGATGGAAGACTTAACTATTGAACAAATAAAGCAATTCGCTGAAGATGAATTTGAACATGGTAAAGTGCCAACGATTCCACCTCCCAAAGAATTTTGTTTCTAGTAGCTTTGGTTCGTTATGCTTTATTTCGTCCATCCTAGATCAGTTGTGATTCTCGTATGATGCATTTGAAAAATTTGTTAATATTTGACACAATGTTTACAGTGAAATAACATAGGTTGACTCATATTTAATCTGACAGTTTGAAACTGAACAGATATATATATAAAATGAAACAATATATGCTTGTATTTTGTTTGAAAAATTGATGGTTATTCATTATGAAGGATGAGATTAATAAATTTTTTGCAAATTGCTGTTATCGATTCCTTCATTTTCTCACATAAAAACTCATTTGTCATTATTCAAATCGTACATCAATTATGTATGAACGGCAAATAATAAAGTGACACAATTATTTAGAGCTTCGCTAATGATCATGATGCCTTTACTGAAATCGATATTATTAGACTATTGTAAGGGAGAGATAAAGTAACACGAAATCTGTTGATCTAACTCATGCCGATATGAGATTACAGAGTTCACAGGAAATTCGAATTTAATGCATAGCGATTTGAATTATACATAAAAAAGAATAGCAAATAAGTTGCTAGGGATGGAGGGTGATGTTGAATATTAGACGAAAGAGGAGGTCGCAGAGATGTTCAAGTTTGCGAGATGTTTGGTGCGCAGAGAGTGAGGAGATAATAAAAGAACTGCAGTTTATTATGGTTACAGTGATTGAGAGTAATTCGTTATGGGGATTATACATAGCGTGGGTAGGTTCGCAAATAATTGCTGTGATTGCTATCTGTTTATGCGTGTGATTGTGTAGTATCGCGTAGATTTGCTATTTTCTAACTTTATGAGACTTTCATAGCATAGCAAGTTTAGTAAGGGTTGGTTGTAATGATGGGAGATTTTTGTGTGAAAAAAATTTTTTTAGAATAAATATTAATTGCCAGGTGTGTATACGTTGCTTCTGTGGTACACATATGTTAGCTGCATTATCTGAAATATTGTTGTTTATGCATATTATTCGCTCTCATTTATGTAGATTCCAGATATATATGTGTAATATTCGTGTACTTTCATATGATTCATAAAATAGCACTTGTAATTGAAAGGTATATAATTTTAGATGTTGAAGTTATGAGCAATGAAAGTTGGACAGTAAATTATGCAATGAAATGGCAGGAAACTTCTGGCAAAGTTCACACTGGTTTGTACAACTTGTAATTTATGCCTATTTGTGCATGTTCGTTATGTAAATTTAAATGTATTGCCCGTGATGTTTGTGGTGACATTTTCGTCATTAAATTCACATTTTTAACCAAAGGATTCTGTGCAGTTTATGCATGTGTACATGGCGAGGGCATAAAGTACTTCATTATATGTTTGTGATTGTTATGAAACATTTTCTGCTTTTTGCATATACCTTATTGCATAAAATAAATTAATGAATTGGGCTTAGGGAGAAAAATTCTAGGGAGCAATGGATTTTGGACAAGCAAGACATTCTGCGGATGCGTGGCGAAGATATGAAATGTATTACAGAGGAAGAATACACGAAGTTGATGATATTTTTCTGCAATTGTGAGTAATGTGTATTGTTTATTGTTTATAATATTGGGATTACCACTGACATATCTTTTTATGAAGTGCTTCATAGTTTATGAAGTTGAATCTTATTCATTGCAGTGTTATTTTTGTTTTCGTCATAAATTTAAAAATTCTTTTAAGTTATCCATGCTATTGGAATGGATTCACAGCAGCCTCATAAAACACGAATGCAAGTGATTGCTACAGCTTGTGTTTATTTCCGTCGTTTTTATGCGAGGTAATGAAATTTTGTGAGTTTTCACATGAAAGATAGAAATGCAAGGATTGGGGATGAAATTCTTCCATTTCTTTTGAATTTTCGAATATAAAACAAATATAAAATTGAGCGCTCATCACTTACGTTTATTTTTATTTCAGACGATCACTGAAAGATATTGATCCATTCTTGTTGGCGCCTACTTCCTTGTTTTTAGCATCCAAAGTTGAAGAACATGGGATGATGTCACACAATAAGCTCATACAGGCCACAAATAATGCTTGTAAGTCACTGATGTTCTTAGAAATTCTTTGGTCATTTGTTATGTCAAAAGCAGTTTTAATCTTTTTCTTGATGAACAGCAAATGAATTAAATAGTAGGACATCACATAGTTTTTGCTGGCAATTACGACTAAATTCCAAGTCAAAATCACTTTCATTCTTGAGAAATCGCTACTGGTAAACATATTTAGGTGTAGGTTTATATTAATTTTCTTCCTGTATTATTTTCATTTATGTTTTAATAACAAACGATATAATTTAAGATGCTGTGCTTTAGCTTGTATAACTTATTCTGTAAAAAATATTTCTATGATCTTCGAAGAGTCTTTTCTATTACTCGGTGTAACAAGTAAGATAAAAAAACATGGATGTGGAAATCGAATGGATTTTTCTTCATACTGCTGGCACTGTTATTTCTATTAAATTTTGCATTTGTAGTGAAACGATGGCCTTTCATTCAGCAAGATTTGATGATACGGGTGCAACACATACAGGAAGCAGAATTCTTTCTTTTGGAAATTTTAGACTGTTGCTTAATTGTCTACCATCCTTACAGGTTTATTTTTACCTGTATTTCTGTGAAAGCATGAATATCCATCAAGTTTGATATGTGATCCACAATAATCAAATAGACGGAATGAGGAAATTGAGATACAATTTGGATATAAATGTGAAGACAAGAGTTGTTTTTTTAGAGCTATAGCTTCTCCAGACTTAAGAAAACTTGATTGCAAAAATATACTCGGAATCATTTGTAGACCATTGAATCAATTAATGGCTGAAATGGGAAAGGAACACAAAGATCTCGACACAATATCATCATATGCTTGGAAAATTTGTAATGATTGTACAAGAACCGATCTTTCATTAATGTATCCTCCTCACCAGATTGCAATTGGTAAGTTTCATTTTGCATGCAGAACATTTCTGTGTCTTGAGATAATCAAATACATTTCAGATTAACTTATTGCAGTGAAGATTTGAATTCACATGTTTACTGTGAGAGACTGGTAGCTATTGACATTGTTTGTAGTATTTTGAAGACAGTGAATTTTTTATCAAAAGAACTAAAAATAGAAAGCAAACTTCAAATCTTATTGGTAATCCGAGATAAATTTGGCATAAGACTCATCTTTCATCTCTCTTACATATAAGAGTGGAAAAGCTAGTCAAACTATATAAATATTTCCAAATTCTGAATAATTATTTTTAGCATGCATTTTGATAGCATCAGTTTGGACAAATAGAGACAGAGAGCTAAAAAACTGGTTTGCGGAGCTCGCGGTGGATTTTGAAAAGGTGAATGCTTATTTTATCTGGTCTATCTGCAGTATTTATTTGGAGGCATTTTTTTTTTTGTTTCAGTTTTAGTTCGCATTGAATTTCTGATTATTGAATATGGAAGGTATTCTCATATATATAAAACTTCATTTCTTTTTTGGCTGACTGTCGGCTGGACAAATTTGCATGATGAATAATTTTACAGTGAAATATACATAAACATTCGATAGTATCAATAATTTATCATACTATAAAACGAAGCGATGATCAGTTCTGAAACGTTATTAATATTCAAGGCTCAGTAAGAAATCTAATAGACTTAAATGGTTCCATTGTCATTAAAACGTCATAAACTACCATGACTTCAAGATTTAATTTCAGGTACTAGAAATCCAAAAAATCATTATAAATTTATACAGCGTATGGAAGACATTTGATGAAAAAGAACAACTCGTGGCTATTCTGCAGAAAATTCCACGTCCTAATCCAGGTCCACAATCATCGGGTGCTACTATGATGCAGTCACACTCCCATGGTGGTCTTCAAGTGAATAATGTGAATGTACATCAAGGTGTTACTATGGGACCACCACCTATGCCTCCAGTTGGTAATATAAAGTTTGAAACACATTAGCTATACCGTAAAAATTCAGTACTACGACATGCAAAAAAATGAAGTATTCCCTTCCAGACAGCTTGCAAACTTCCTCTCATTTGCTCTTTGAAAGGAACAGATGAGTCTCATCCTATGTATTTCAAGTAAAAATTAAATGTTTAAATGCAGTCAATATCTTATTATAATCATCATTCGCCTTCCATTCCAGGACTGTTATGCAGTCAATGCTTTGTGATACTATCTCATTTGTTGAGCTTTATTCTTATTTTTTTGCTATAATACATGAAATGGAATTTATGGTCCTTATTTTTTCGAGATACAGTCAATAAATGTTGACAATTTTATAATTCTGCTTTCATTATTAAAGTTCATTGCATATGTGTGTTTGATAGCTTTTCTAGCATATTAAGATATGCATCCCTCCTGTTGTTATTTTGATAAGACGTTTACTTACAAATGAAATTCATGTTGATAAAAGACGACACTGATATGGTGGTAGTATTCTAAAGAATCCGTTGAACGAATCCGAGCAATCTCCTGCACTGAAGCATCTAAAATATTAATTTGACACGGGAAGTGGCAATAATTCCCCCCATTGTCCTATTCGACAGTGCCGCCAAGTGATAAGGTTGAGCGGTGATGTAAACTTAGGCTTTAGAATTACTGAATAATCAATGCTCAGTGAAAAATTTATCACATATCCATTTTTACCAAATTTGATATAATCAGATCGAAGTTTTACATTAAGCAGAATTATATCAATAAGCACTTATCTTTTTGATCATTTCTGTGATCAAATCTTTTCGTAAATCCAAAAATATATGCATCTCAAAACAACAGCTGCATTTATAAATACTTTAAAGCA